GTACAATTTGGGACATGCTCAAACTGACTTGCCCCAAATGGTAGAGTTAGAAACATACCAGGGGACTCCAATTTAATCCCATCAAGGTGGCATGTACCAATGCCATCTCACCAGTCCAAGTGATCAATCTTAGTTCACAATTGATCATAATGAAAGGACTAAGAGTCAAAGGGAGCACATAAACAAGTCTAGTACCTGCTAATACTAACCGATAGAATAAATAAAGGGGAGTGTGATCCAACATGGGAAGCGAGATACTCAGCAGACTCATAGAATGGCGGATGTCCTAAACAGCACTCTGGCCTCAGAATCAGCCCTAAAGGCATTCGGATCTGGCTGAAAAGCCCATGAGAGTATTTCAGGCATGGAAAGCCAAGACACTCTGGCAAAAAAAAAAAAAAAAAAAAAAAAAAAAAAAAAAAAAAAAAAAAACCTAAATGAAAGATCTCTGTGAGTGAGATCCCAGTGGAAAGAACAGGTCTTCAAAGAAGGAGGTACCTTTCTCTGAAGGGAGGAGAGAACCTCCACTTTGACTATGACCTTGTCTAAACAAGATAAGAATCGGTGAACTCAAAAGGCTTCCATAGCCTTGGAAACTCATGACTGGTGCATAGGGAGATTACTGATGTCATAAACAGGAGTGTCAATTTGTAAAGTCAACAACAGGAGTCACTGTGCACTTACTCCTCATGTAGGATCTCTGTCCTTAATGTGCTGTACATTGAGACTTAATGCTATAATGAGTACTCAAACAGTATATTTCGCTTTGTGTTTCTATGGGGGTGCAAACTGTTGAAATCTTTACTTAATGTATACTAAACCGATCTTCTGTAAAAAAAAAAAAAGAAATTATCAATTCCCAACTTGACTCTCACTGGGATTAAACATGACAATAGGTCTGATCTGATTTCATCATCATTTAAAAAATCATCTATTATTTTTCACTTTATGTTTGTGTGGGAGCTAACTGTTGAAATCTTTACTTAATGTATGCTAAACTGATCTTCTGTATATAAAGAGAATCGAAAATGAATCCTCATGTGAATGGAAGGGGAGAGGGAGTGGGAAAGGGGAGGGATGCGGGTGGGAGAGATGTTATGGGGGGGAAGCCATTGTAATCCATAAGCCGTACTTTGCAAATTTATATTCATTAAATAAAAGTTAAAAAAAAAACTGAACTCATCAAAGCAGAGACCAGAATGGTGGCTGAAGGAAATGTGAGGTTTTGGTGCAAGGTAGAAAAGTTTCAGTTACATAGGATGAGTAAGTTGTGAAGGTCTAAGCACTGGTGGTACTCATTAGCAATGCTATAGGTATAGCTGGAATTTTTAACTAAGAAGCTAAGATCTTATATGTTCTCACCACATACGCACATGATGGCCATGTGAAGTGATGGCTATGTTTTCCTTGACTGTGGTCATCATTTCATAATGTATTGTGTCGTATGGCACACACACACACATATGCAGTATATCCATTAGAGGATTGCATTTTCTTTCTTTCTTTCTTTCTTTCTTTCTTTCTTTCTTTCTTTCTTTCTTTCTTTCTTTCTTTCTTTTTACAGGCAGAGTTAGACAGAGAGAGAGAGACAGAGAGAAAGGTCTTCCTTTTCTGTTGGTTCACCCCCGAAATGGCTGCTATGGCTGGTGCGCTGCAGCTGGCACGCTGCAGCTGGCATCCAAAGCCAGGAGCCAGGTGCTTGCTCCTGGTCTCCCATGCGGGTGCAGGGCCCAAGGAGTTGAGCCATCCTCCACTGCCTTCCCGGGCCACAACACAGAGCTGGACTGGAAGAGGAGCAACCGGGACAGAATCCGGCACCCCAACCAGGACTAGAACCCAGGGTACCGGTGCTGCAGGCAGAGGATTAGCTTAGTGAACCACGGTGTAGGCCAGAGAATTGCATTTTCAACAAGTGATGCTCAAGGAACTGGACAAATGAGAGAAAGAGAGAGAGAGAGAGAGAGAGGCTTCAACCTAAACCTAAGCCTCAAACTTTATACAAAACTAATTGTTTGCTGAATTGTAAAACTGCAAAAATTCAAAAGATTTAGGTGGAAGGAGAAAACACAAGACAATCTTCAGAGTCTCTGGCTAAGCAAAGATTTGACACCAAAAGCAGGATCCACAAAAAAAAAAGTTTCTAAATTTAACCTTATCAAAATTAAAACCTCTTCTCTATGTAAAGATTCTGTTAAAGGGTTGAAAAGACCCCTTAGAATGGTAGGACTTATTTGCAAATCACTTACTTGACAACGCATATCTAAACTGCATAAAAAGCTTTCCAAATTCAAACAGTAAAAATCAATCACTCTCATTGGAAAATGAACAAAAGACAAAAGCAGCTATTTCCCTGAACAGGATGCACAGATAGGGAATGAGCACAGGAAATGGTCTCTACTTCATGAATACTTAGGGAGATGCAAAATGAGACCCACACAAGACAGCTCTGCACACTACCAGCATGGTCAAAGGAAAGACAGTTACACACCAGGTGCTGGCAGAGATGCAGAGAAGCTGGACCACTCCCCCACTGCTGGCAGAAATGTAAAATGGTATGGCCACTGTGGAAGGCAGTTGGATAGTTTAAAAAAAAAAAAACCTCAACATGTAATTACCATATGACCCCGCAATTGCACTCTTGCATATTTATCACATGTAAATGAAAACTTATGTTCACACAAAAATGTGCACCCAAATGTTCATACCAGCTTTATTCATAATTACCAAGAACTGGAAACAACCCATATGTCCTTCAATGGGTGACTAAACAAACTGTAGTACACAGGATGCCACTCATCAATACAAAGCAATGAACTATTAATACACACAATAAGCCGGATAAATGTACGAGATTATGCTGAAGGAGCTAAAGCCAAAAGATATGACCCATTTGTATAACATGATTGGAAGCATAAAATTTTATAATTAGAGGGCAATTAGAGATTGCCATGATTAGGGATGGAAAGAGAGGGCAAGAACTAGGAAGAGGCAAGTATGGTTATCACGGGATGACACAAGGGATTCCTGTTGTGATAGGACTGCTCAGTGTCTGTGCTGTGGAGGTGGCTACTCACCAAATGCACACAGAGACCAAATGCATACAGAGGCACAGAGACACACAGAAAGACACAAAGAACCAAATGCATACATACATACACACAGACATACAGAACCAAATGCACACAGATATACACATACAGACCAAAATGCACACACACAGACACAGATGCATACAGGAGGGGAAGGCTGAATAAAATCCATCAATTCTATCAATGTCAGTACGCTGCCTGTGGTACAATACTAACTTTTCAAAATATTTCCACTGGGTGAGACTGGGTAAAGGACACTGGAAGACCGTCATATTGTCTCTTAAAATTGCACGCGAATCTACAATTGTCTCAGTCAAAATGTCAGTTTAATACAGACACTAGATAATATCATACTTAACCTTGAACCCTGATCAAGGAGTCTGAACTCTTTGAGAAGCTCATTGAATGTGGCTGGTTTGAGGACAGCCACGATGCAGAGTGGATGTGATAACAGAGCGGGATGGATTACAGAGGCTACTGAAGGCAGAGACTCAGAAAATCCCAGCTGGGGCTCAAATGAGGGGTCATATGGAAGCCCACAGAGAGTGCAGTGGGTGTGGAATAGATCTGTGAGGTGGCCACGTCAGCAATCACATTCTCCATGTGCATTTCCGAGTCTGATCGTAAAATAAAAGCATTTCCAAGAGGCATCCATCCATCCTGAACTCATTCTTCTAGGCCATCATTTTAACATTTTGTAAAAATGAAGACAGCCTTTGAGTCCTTGGTTTCAATAATTTTTAAAGGTTTCATTTATGTATTTTCATTTTATTTAAAAGGCAGAGAGAGGTGGGCGATGAAGGGCAGGGATCCTCCATCTGCTGGTTCACTCCTACAATGCCCACAGTAACTGAGTCTGGAACAGGCCAAAGCCTGGAGCCTGGAACTCAATCCAGATCTCCCATGTGGGTGGCAGAGACCCAAGTGCCTGAGCCATTATTACCTGCTGCCTCCCAGGGTGTGTGTAAGTTAGCAGAAAGCTGAAACCAGAAGTGGAGCCAGCGCCGGCGCCGCGGCTCACTAGGCTAATCCTCCGCCTAGCGGCGCCGGCACACTGGGTTCTAGTCCTGGTTGGGGCGCCGGATTCTGTCCCGCTTGCCCCTCTTCCAGGCCAGCCCTCTGCTGTGGCCAGGGAGTGCAGTGGAGGATGGCCCAGGTGCTTGGGCCCTGCACCCCATGGGAGACCAGGAAAAGCACCTGGCTCCTGGCTCCTGCCATCGGATCAGCGCGGTGCGCCGGCCGCAGCGCGCCGGCCACAGCGGCCATTGGAGGGTGAACCAACGGCAAAGGAAGACCTTTCTCTCTGTCTCTCTCTCTCTCACTGTCCACTCTGCCTGTCAAAAAAAAAAAAAAAAAAGAAGTGGAGCCAGGACTCAAACTCGGGCTCCTCAATATGGGATGTGGGCATCCCAACAGCATCCTAACCTCTTTGCCAAATGCCTGCCCTGGTTTCAAAAATTGTTGAAATGTAAGTGGAATAAGTTTTCTATTCTTTGTGATAATTGGCATGTTTTAAATCACTTTAAGGTATTTGAAGATTTGAAAAATATTAGACTTGTGACTTAAATTAATTTTAACTAAACATTGATAAAATTTGCTTAAATGTCTGCGAACAAGTTTAAATGTCAGAGGAAATTTAATTTGTTAATCTTAATGTTTGATTTGTTGACTTTTGTAAGCAGCATTCAAAGTTCAAAGACATGAATTTATACATTTATGCAATTGTACAGGAAACAAAATACAACAACAATGAAGCTCTTCTCTTGGCATGAAAGATTTTAGTTATCTGACTGCAGATCCAGGATCTGAGTCTCTCTGTGCCCTCAGGTTCTATCCACAACACCTGAGAGCCCTGACAGGTTTGTACCATGTCTTACATCACTCTAGATCTAGAAGAAGGAACAGGCTTACCTTATGGGGTTGTCCATCCTGGACACTGTGAGGAAGGCAGCAAGGTTGGCTGTGTAGGAGGAGCACACGATGAGGGTGAAGAGCCACCAACTGCCCATCACAATGCGCATCGCCATGGAGTTCACGGAAGATTCGCCACCTGCAGAAGGCAAGCAGGGTGAACTGGTCAGTGGTGATGGGGGATGGGAGCTTCACTCCCTTCCCCAGAGACCTGCTCTGCCCTGTGGCCAGGCCAGGGGACCAGGGAAGGGACTGCCCACTGCGTGAGGGGAACTTTGCTGGTAGCAGCCAAGACGTCTACAACTACTGATCTTGGAACAGGATGGAGGACCACAGAACACGCAGGAGTCCAGACGGGCCGTGCAGGGATAAGAAGCTTGCCACAACACCGGGGACAGAATTCTGAATGCCAAAACCTTCTCACCGAGGTGAGAACTCCTAGGGCAGCATCCCCCTCTGATTCCAAATCCACGCAGAGTAGACTCAGAGATTTTGTAAATACAGGCTGTCTACCCAGAGGGTTCCAGAGCTTTCTTTTCAACCAAGGAATAAGATGTACCATACGACTTCTATTAATATTCAACCCTCACTAGAAGACTTTTTCTCCAGGATTCTCAGAAATCATTGCAAGTAACTTTCAGGGAGAAGCTGCCTCTTTCAGGCCAATTATTTCTCCTTGGTCCCTTAGGTGGTAGCAGAGGAAAGCTCCTCACTGCCCACCTATTCTCCTTATATAACCTTGAAAAGCTTTCACCAGGGTAAAAACAGGACCACGACTCACATTAGGAACTTTGCAATTTGTCCTTTTCCACCCCAAATTGCACGGTGCAGAACCCTCAAGCAGAGGAGAATGCCTAGCAGACTGCAGTACAATCGGGATTATTTTCCCCCATTATGACTGCAAATTTAAACCAGATGCAGGGTTTCTCCTGACAACCTCATGTGCCTAGCAATCAAAGGTGGGAGAGGAGAGACGCTCAAGGCAGAACTCCAAAGTTAATTTTACCTAACGGGGAGAATCAGGATCTGAAGTTGAGTTCTTTGTCATCATTTTATTCTGTTTCAATCTGATATCACATAGAGAAATTGGGGCAGTGTGATATTAGAACTGTGTTAGAGATGAAATCAAATTGCATTTAAAATGACTGGGTGAAGTCATTTCTAAGAACACTGCCCACAGGGAAAAGTCCTTCCAGGTCCTCAGGGTTAACCAAGGCCAGGAGACAGGCAGGTACCTTGCTGCACGAAGGCTCCGTACACAATCCAGATGGCGCTGTGCAGGGTGGCAGAGGCGGAAGGTCGTGGCTGGGTGGCACTCTGCGCCCTCACAGCCTGTATCAGGTTCAGCACAAAGATGAGCACCCCCACCACAGGGATGGCGGCGGCGATGCAGGCCCACACCGCAAAGTCAAAGGGCACGAACAGGGAGAAGATGCTGATCTTCTCCTCGGGCTTCTTCATGAGGATCCCCACTGAGTAGTCCATGTACCGCTTGCTGAAGTCCACGACACTCTCCCTCTCGGGGGTGATGGTGATGGCTGAGATGGCCACGTCTGCTCTCTGAAAGGCAAACCAGCTCTTCAGTCCATGCACCCCCGACCCTCCAGGGCTTCTGTGCAGAGGAAGCAGAATTGAGGGTTGACTCCCTGCGGCTCTGCACCCTGTAAAGTCAAGTCCAACACACTGCTGTCTGCTGTTGCCTCTCCTCTCTTCTTCCAGGGTTATCCAAATTTCCCCTGGACAGCAGGGCCAGTCTCCACAACACTATCACCCCATCGATCCCTCTCTTTTCTAAAAGATTTCAGCAATTAGATGGTGAGCTGTTCAACCATGGTGAACTTCACTAACATTTGGGGCCCGGATTGTTTTATATGCAGAGTAAAACTCCCTAGGAATAAAGGGTCATCTACTGGTTTATGTCTCCCTCCATTCCCTATCTCACGGCCTACAGACACATGAGCTGGTTTTTCTTGTACCCAAGCCATACTGCGAAGGGTTGCTCTGCACATGCCCTACGGTGACCTCAAAATGTCCCCCAAGAGTTCTGCTTCCAAAAATGGCTTCATTTTAAAAACAGACAAATGCTCCAGTAGTATGGTCCTGGACTGGAGATGAGGCTGCCATGTCTGGGAGAGGTTAGGAGCCTCACTGCCTAGAGAGAGGGAGGTGGCTATGTGGTCTAGTTTGCTGTGGCTGTTAGAGTGCTGAGAGGCATGGTCATCACTTTGATCTTGGCTCTGGGACCTCCAGGTAGGAGGCATCAGCAGTGATTATGGTGTGTTTTTGAACAGCCAATCCTGACCACCGGTTTGACCCATGTGTCAAAGTGGGGGAAAGGATTTTATAAGATTGAATGTATGGCTTGGAAGTGCAGATAAACTGACATCCAACACCATCTAGAGTACAGAGGACACAAGATGTGGGAGAGGACTTTGTTCAAGCACTCCTCTTACACTTGTCACATCTTTCATCTCTGGTTCTTGCCTTTCTTCCCAGAAACCCAATATCCAGGTGTTGCTTTTAGGGTTGGGAGAGTTTGGAGCATATTTAAGGGTAGGTTTATACTCTAGTGTACGTAAGGTCTACAGGACACACTAGCGAATCAACTCATGACAGAGGTGGAGGGGTTGACCAGTGACAGGAGAGAGACACTCCCCCCACAGCAGGACAGGGCAGGCAATACTTGCCTATGGAGGGGAGGGCAGATGCCAGCAGGTATGTATTTTATAAGGAGTAAAAATTAATTTCATGACCAGAAGTCTCAATTTCTTTCCCCCAATATAAGAGGAGGATGGAGGCTCATTAGGGAGCTCTAGGAGAAAGGGAAACTTTGGAAGACGTCTTTGAGGGATGTGGCCAAGGGGACCCACAAAGGGTAAGCTTGGGGGTTGCGTTGCACAGAGGCCCAGCTGAGGCTGGAGAGCAAAGCTCAGACCCTCATCTGAACAGATTCATCATTTTCTTCTCTACTTGCATGCAGCAGCCTGGCTATCGGAGTTAAGAAGGCCAAGAACAGAACCAATTCAGGGCTTGGATGCAACAGGACATCGGGAGCATGGGTGCATGAGGGATGAAAGGAAGAGAGGCTCTCTCTGTGTGGTCAGCCACAGAGGATGTACCAGGCAGGGGAGGCTGCAGTGCCAGGTGGGCACAGAAACATCTGAGCAGGATAGACTCAAATGCACGGGCTAAGTGGGAAGAGCCAGAGGCAAGAGACCATATATTGCATGAGTGCATTTGTATGAAATGTCACAACTGCAACTCAGCAGAGATGGAAAGTAGATTAGTGGTTGCCTTGGGCTGGGGGCGGGAATGGCAGTAACTGTAGATCGGTAGGGGAGCCCGCAGTGGGATTATAGCAGAGCTCTCAAAGTAGATTACAGAGATGGCTGCACACTCAGTACAGTTACTCAAATCATTGCATTGACATCTAAAATGGCTAACTTACGTAGTGTCTGAGATTTCCCACAATAAATTTGTTTCTCAAAAAAGATAAAGGGAAATTGGAGTGATCCCAGGCCTAGTGCCTACCTTGATACCTTTAAAAAGCAAAGAGCCTGTGTCTGGGGAGTAAAGACCCCAAAGAGGTCAAAGCAGAACAAGCTGTGGTCCAGGTTGGGGAGGGCGGGCATGACAGTTATGGTGACTAATGTGAGATACTAGCAACATGCATGGGTGCAGGGAGTCTACACACTGGGAGTCAAGGGCTGTCCACAGCACAGTACACAATTGTCAATGTGTGTGTGTCAAAAGTAAGAATGAGTCCAATGCCACTGTCAGAAGTGATGGTGGGGAAATGATTGACAGGTCCCTAGAATCCAAAGGCAAGGCTGGGGGTGAGAGGGACTGGCCTCAAGCCCCGAGTTCCCATGAGGACACGGGTTCTGCAGGAGGGATGAAAGGTAAAGATCTGAGACAAGTATGCAGGGCTGGGGATGTCACACCACAGACACATGGCTATGCAGAACAGTCACATACGCATGCTTACGCAAATGCCAACATGCACGTAACCCGCTATTGACTCTGGGCAAGAGGAGAAAGGGCACTAGGTCCCTGTTTCAGCCCCAGGAAGGGGGATGGGTCTCCTGATGAGAGTGCTACAGGGTAGGCATGGTGGATGGGCTTGGAACAGATGAAAGAAATGGTTAGGGAGGGAGACACAGAGCGCTGGAGGAGAAGAAGGTAACAGAGCAGTCACAGGTGCAGAGGAGGGTAACCAGACTCTTTAGCTGGACCAACAGCATAATGGGCCAAGTTGTGAGGCCACCCAGGGGCACACCAGGGGCCCCTTGTCATGAACCAGCTTGTGGGACCTACCTTGCTGATAAGCTCCCCAATCATCCCGTTCCAGGAGGTGTTGTGGAGCTGGTGACCGTACCTGCCATCGGGGGCCTGGTAAATCTCATACTTGAAGCCCAAAGCCTTGGCCAGCGCATCCAGGACATCGATGGAGAACCCCTTGTAGCGCTTAGGCTGCCCAAGGATGTTCTCAGCCACCATCACGAAAGGCTCTTCCTGGGAACAGCAGAACGAACGATCTTCATTAACACCCATGTCTGGGGTACAGTCGGACAGACCCATCTAGGAATCCTAACTTGAATTGTTAGCATTTACCCAATTTCGACCTGGAGGCTGAACTCCTCTGCCCTTTTCTAAAAGCAGTTTATGGGCAATCAAGGAACAGTGTGCAGGACAATCACCCCAATCAGCAGGTCAACACACAGCCATGCAAATTTACCTGTCCTGTGTGACGTCATCCCAGGCTGTGCCCAAACCCCAGCTCGTAGAATAACAGCCCTCGTTTTCCTACTTTCATTTGTAACACACTCTGTCCTTAGGAAATGCCATAATTTTAGGAGACCTACATAAGACATGTGACACTTCTCATCCAGGATAATAAATGGCAATAAAGATCTGAGATATTAAATTGAGAGAAGACCGTATTTTATCTATCAGCTTGTACTAGAAAATAGATGCTGATGAACCAGCCAAGGTCATGCTGTAAGTGAAAGGGTAGGCTCGAATTAAAATCCACAGGTTCTGAGCCCAAAGCTGTGCTGTGTGCACACCCACACATTTTGTGCTGTGTCATGTGTGGAGCAGGTGACTCCCTGGAAGGCAGCCCAGCCTCCCCCTCATGCTCCCCTTCCTTCTTGCAGGAAACGGAACAAGAAGGAGCTTTGGGCAAAGGGTGACAGAGCCTATATCTCATTAATTTAGTGTTGTTGGGAGAAAAAGATGCAAGGCACATTCAGGGTCTGCAGAAACACCAGGGGCTTCTGTGCCTGCTGGAACCGAGGGGAACATCTGAACCATGTCCGACCCAGCTCGTAAGTAAGGGGTAAATCCAAAGTCTCTTAGAAATGCAAAAGTCTATGATCCCAGGACAACGATGCTGGAACAAGCAACTAGCAAGTGCGTTTCATCAGGAAGTTTGTGTCATGTGGGCCACCCAGAGTGCTGGGGGCTGAAAGAACTTCCTCCTCCCAGCACCCTTCTGGGGACCCTGGCTGCCCGCACCACTCACCTGAAGACCAGCAGCCAGTTGGTCAAGACCCTGTTGATGCCCAAGGAGCAAAGGAGCGGCAGAGCGCCCTCTTGAGGTCAGCGGTGGATCTGGCTGCAGGGCCCCTGCTCTAGAGCAGTTTAGGGATCTCCCTTGGAGTCTTACCCTTTCACAGTTATTTGATTGAAAGGCTCGTTTGCTCCTCAAGATCCCCTTTCTCTCCAAACACAGCCCTAAACAGACAGCAGCCTTAAGCTCCCAGAATATCCCCGTGATCCTACCAAGACAGTCACCACTTTGAGAGTCAGTCCTTGGAGGCGGCTGCCCATGGGCCTCTCCTGTAGGCTGCCATTCAGGCCTTTCTCTGAGTCCCACGTTGCCAGCTGTGGAGGAGAGGGAGTGTGAGACACACACACACTGTACAGGCACCTGTGCATACCTTAGGAACACGTTTCCTAAACTGGGAACCTGAGTCAGGCAGGGAGGTGGGCAGCAGCCCTGTGGGCTTCCCAGAGACCCAGATCCATCCTGCAGTTGTAAAGGAGAACAGAGAGGTCCATTGCCTCCATCAGCTCACCCAGGCCTCTGGGACTGCGGGTATCCCCAAAATGCAAGCAGTTGGGAAGAGCTTGTCACTAGGACAAATGTTTATGTCCCAATTGTATTCTGTCTGCACACAGAGGCTGTATCACTTTGTCTTCCACAAAGTCTCCTCTTTCTTTAATCACTCCTTTGACTTTCTTAGGCCACAGGGCCTTAAATTAAACCATTGCCACTGCCACAGGCAGGCTGGGGCTCAGCAGTAAAGCAAGTAACAAAAGCCCAAGTGTGCAGCTTCTCTTGCACCCTGGTGCCTACTGCAAGCATGGCCAGGAGCTCTCTGCATGTTTTCTCTGTAGTGTAAATGCCATCAGATAGGCAGCAGAGGGGGAGAGCACAAAAATATTCTGTGTGTGTGCCACATCCTTCTGCACTTCCTGGCTGTGTGCAGTGGCTCGATGCAACTGTGCCAGGTGCCCTAAGGTGGTGAAGACTCTGCCATCGCTCGGAAACAGAGGAGACACAGTTGTTCCCAGGACTCAGTGGCCTGCATCCCTGCAGGGCCAGAGCAAAAATGGCCACCTCTTTGTCTGGTCAATGATTCTCAACTATAAACTGGAGACAGGTGAGAGAAAATACAGAACATACTGGCCCCACTTCAAAGCAACTAAATCAGAGCCTTAGGGTAATATCCATGCCCTTGGAACGGTCCTGGCATGCCCTTCTGGAATCCTTGGCTTGGCTGTATAGTAGGATCTCTCAGGGAGCTCTTTAATACCCTGAATGCTGGGCCCCACCTCCAGAGATTATGAGCTAAGTGATTTAGGTATCATGGTCTAGATATGGTGGTTACAGACAGCCAGGATTCCGAGCCACTGCTGTAGGTTGAACCAGTAATTCTTAAACGATGATGCACACACAAATCACTCAGGGGTTTCATATGCACTTTCTGATTCTAGGCTTGGAGATTATTTCTGTCTAACAAGCTCCTAGGTGCTGCTGATTGCTGCTGCTTCATGGATCACCATTTATGTAAGGATCTGACAGCCATGCGCAGTGCCTATTCTTTGTCAGGAAAGACCCCAAAGACCCCTAGTTGACCTGAGCAGTGGAAATATTCCTCTGGCACTGTGGGATCTAATGGAGCCATAAGCAGCTCCACAGGAGGACATGAGCACTCTCCCAGCACCAACCACAGCCCTGGCACTGGCTGCAGGGTCTGCACACTGAGACCTGGCTATGAGGTCCAGAACCTCAGTGACCATTCCACCTGGAAGATGATACATCTCTGGGGCCTCAATAAAAACCACCAGGATGTGGACGGGGATCCTAGAGCCAGTTTCCAAGGAATCTGACATGTCCTACTGTCACTTTGAACATGACACCTACCAAGACAGCTCTCTCTTAGCAGGATGTCTAGCAGTGATGAATGTGAATTTAGTTAAGAGTGTGGCCATGCACTCTGAAGAGCTCCCCCGGCCCCAAACCACCAGATTATTTCAGAAGGCACTCCAGTGAAAGCAAGTTAAGATCTACCCAGAACTCTGGTCAAGGACATCAAGATGCTGATGATACCAGACTTTGGGAACTGGTACAGTGGGAAGGAAACATGGATGCTTCTCCACTGGTTCTGAAGAAAGAGTCCTAAGACCTCAAATTGATTCCTGCAGCTGGATTACAGTGACAGTCAGAGGGAAGACAACAAATTCCGAGGAGGAGAGCAAAGGGATTGATTCTCTGCCTTCTTTGGATACCTCAGTGGGGACTCAGGGGGCAGGGATGGTATGTGTTCACCATGACATAATGATGTGCACCCCCTAACTGCTCAATCCAGGTACTGGAGTTGCTTAACCCTCATGTGTGTTCTGTACTCTTCCAGGCCTGGGTAGAGTTCTGAAGGTCTCCTTGAGCATCCCAGTGGCTCACAAGTTGATAGTGGAGGTGGTTGTTTCTTAATCCTGGCTTCCGAGTTCAGAGACTGGACGCACTGTCCCACGCCAGGATCTGAGTTCCTAACACCTGGTGCCAAATGTTTCCCACCCCGGACCCCTGCACAAGGACGGAGCATGCTGGCCCCCTGCTGCTCTGGTTTAGACGAGCAAAAGAAGCAGGGCTGTGCTTGATCAGGCAGGCTTTACCTGCCCGTCTACCAGGATTGCGTCAGGCATGATGGAGAATGAAGCAGGAAGAAGGCATTGGGACAGAGCCCTGTGCTGCCAGGGTGCTAGCTCAGCTCTAAGAAGCTTCCAGCCACTGCCTGGCTCCAGGCAGCAGCTCCTCTGCCTCAAACCTTCCAACAGCCTGCTCACTGGTCTCATTAACCCACCCTTTCTCTCTCTCTTCCAGCCTTGTGCTATGCTGGTGGGTGCCTTTACAGGAAGCAAACCCAAACATGAACTATGCCAGTTAAAGAAAGGTCTTCCCAATCCCAGGCCAGCAATGGTCCTCAGCCACACTTCACTTTGTACAGCTACAGCACACCGTCTTCCCTCCCGACCTGGGCTTCAGCTCCTTCTGCCTGGAGCGCCAGTTGTCTTCCTCGGGATCTGGTAAATGCTTAATGATTTGAATTATGTATTTACTTGAGAGAGAAAATTCATTCACTGGTTCACTCCCCAGATGCTCACAAAAGCTCCGACCTGGGGTCAGTCTGGTCACCCACGGGGGTGGCAGGGACCCAGTCATGTGATCCATCACCACCACCTCCCCGGGTCTGCATTAGCAGGAAGCTGGAGTCAGGAGCCAGGGTCAGTTCTCGAACCACTCACTCCAATATGGGATGCAACATCTTCACCAATATCTCAGTGACTAGGCCAAACGCTCACCCCTTAATCATCTGTGTGGGTTTTTTGAAAATGAGCTTTCACTTTGGAGTAGTTTTGGATTTACAGAAAAGTTGTAGGAATCGTGCAGAGAATGTCCATATGCCCCACTCTCTGTCATTGAGGTGTTAACATTACTGTGACACACTGACCACACTGATTACGACTAATGAATGTGCCACTCAACCTGCAATAGAAATCATCTCTGGGGCTGAGTCTGCGAGGCAGCTGTGGGACCCAGCTTCCTTGCTGTGTTCTCTGGGTCAAAACTCCATCTTCCTAAGCCATCTGGTCTCAGGCTCTGCAGCTCAGACGTGCCTTGTTCATTCCTGTCCACCATGCACCAAACACCACATCCTTCTCTCCAAGATTTGCTTCTAACACTGGTGTAGCTTTGGGGATGGAGACGGGAAGCTGGGAATAAGTAGGTGTATGTGAGCCTGCAGATCTCTGCTCCTTGCTCTCACCCCTTCCCTGGGAAGTACAGCATTAGAAACAGTGAAAGCAAGTCCACAAATATTTGTTCAATTAATTAAACTGCTCCGAGATTCCATTTTCTTATCTATAAAATGGAAGAAAACCATCTTCCCTGCTTACCAAGTTGAGGGGCTATTCATAGGAGAAAAGAATTTTGAAATAATCTATTATAAAATAGCTTAATTAAGAAACACAAAATAAAGAAGCAGATTGTAAAACCGCATGTCCTGTGCAGCCTTAATGGTGTTTAAAAAATAAAACAACAGCTATAGTAGAAGGAGGAAAGGATATATTAAAATGAGATACAGTAAGCATGTGTTACACGTGGTTGGTGGAATTAGGAATAACCATCATTCCCTTCTTTATGCTCCTCTGGGTTTTAACAGGTTTCTCATTCCTTTCACAAGAAGAAAAATAAGCCTTGGATAAAAATAACTGGCATAGGTGATTAAGCAAAACCTTTATCACATGCACTTCGACGAGAGGCAAATGTCAAGGGTACAAAAGGAGTCAAGCGATCTGCCAGTACCCCAAGGCCCACGTGAGAGTCAGAACTCACAAAATCAGTGCTCTGGCACCAAGGAGCTGTGGCCTGGGGGTGCACTCCTACTGCAGATTCAACCAGCGTCTCTTATTAAAGACCCCTCCACACTGGAGAAAGGCTCCATGAACCTGTTGTAGCAGGGTATAGGGACACAGCCAGAGCTGAAACACAGATGTGTGAGGTCAGGCAACGTTTTTCCACTAAGAATGACAGCACCAAAGCATCTCAGTTAATATTCAGATGACCCTGATATAAGAGCACCTTTTAAAACAAAGTGGGGCTGGCACCGCAGTTCAATAGGCTAATCCTCCACCTGCGGCACTGGCACACCAGGTTCTAGTCATGGTTGGGGCACAGGATTCTGTCCCGGTCACTCCTCTTCCTGTCCAGCTCTCTGCTGTGCCCCGGGAAGGTAGTGCTTGGGCCCTGCACCTGCATGGGAGACCAGGAGAAACACCTGGCTCCTGGCTTCAGATCAGCGTGGTGTGCTGGCTGCAGTGGCTATTGAGGGGTGAACCAACGGAAGAAAGGAAGACCTTTCTCACTGTCCACTCTGCCTGTCAAAAAAAAGTGGAATTTGATGAGAGGTGAAAAAAAAAAGGTTTCTCTAAAGCTGTCATCACCCTTATCTTTTTGTCTCAAAGTGCTTGGGACTTAGTTATTTTTTGTTTTGTTTCAATGCAAGCATCTCTCTACCTGGCCGTTGGGCATCCTGCACCCTGACAAAGAAAGAAAAACTACTTCAAAGCAAAACCCAAATTCTGCCTTTCCAACACATCAAAGTGCAGCTGTGTTCCCAGATTCGGGATACTGCATGTTGGGCAGGAGACTTTATTATTCCCTCACATCTGGACGAAGCTGAGCGCCCCAGGCTGTGCGAATCTTCCGGCTTCCAGGAAGTTCTGTGCTCTCGCCCAATTCTAAAGACTAATCAACCTGCATCATTTCTGAACGAAGCCATCCCTCTGAACACCCGTTACATTGGAACAGGACAGAGAAA